TTTCGTGTGTGTATCGAAAAATTTTTTGAGGGTACTCACTTTTTATGGGTTGTGCGAGGGGGGGTGAGGGTACGATGGGGTACCCAAAAACCGCGCAAAGCGAGAAAGAGAGAACAGCAGAGCACCAGAAACAAGAGGGAGAGATGAGCGAGAGACGAGAGAGAGAGAAAGGGGGATGGGCAAGGAGAGGAGAGAGAGAGCGAAGAGAGTCGAGAGGAGAGAGAGAGAGAGAGAAGGGAGAGCGGAGAGAGAGAAGAAGAGAGAGAGAGAGAGAGAGCAGGGGGAGAGAGAGAGTAGAGGATGGGAGAAGCGCGGGAGCGAGAACGAGAGAGAGACGCGAGGTAGAGGGAGAGGGAGAGAGCGCGCGGGGCAGAGACGCGAGAGCGAGGAGAGCAGATAGAGGAGACGATGCCTAGGAGAGGGGAGCAGAGAAAGAGAGAGAGAGGAGAGGAGAGAGGCGAGCGAGAGAAGAGAGAGAGAGAGAGAGAGAGAGAGAGAGAGTAGAGAGGAGAGAGAAGGAGAGCGAGAAGAGAGGGGAACCAGGGGAGGGAGCGGGAGAGGGAGAGGGGGAGAGAGAGAGAGAGAGAGAGCGAGAGAGAGAGAGAGAGAGTGACGAGAGAGGAGAGAGAGAGAGACTAGCGAGAAGAGAGTGAGGGGAGAGAGAGAGAGAGAGAGAGCGAGAGAGAGAGAGAGAGAGAGAGAGATGCAGGACGAGACGAGAGCTAGAGAGAGAGAGAGCGAGAGGAGAGAAAGAGAAAGAGAAAGAGAGAGAGGGAGAGAGCGAGGGGAGAGAGAGAGGGAGAGTGAGGGAGCGAGAGAGAGAGAGAGAAGAGAGAGAGAGAGAGAAGAGAGCGAGCGAGAGAGAGCGAGAGAGAGCAGAGAGGCAGAGAGAAGACTAAAAAAAAGAACGACAGAAGAGGAGGAATAAGAAGGAAAGAAGAAGAAGGACCAGGAAGAAGATGACGAAGACGAAAAGAAGAGGAGAAGAAGGAGAAGAAAGGAAGAAGAGAAGACAGAAGAAGAAAGAAGAAGAAGAGAAGAAGACGAAGAAGTAAAGACGAAGACCGCACACAGAAGCAGAAAGAAGAGGGACAAGAGAAGAAAGGAAGAAGCCGAATAGCAAGGAAGACATAAAGGCAAGACCGAACGGAAGAGAGAAAAAAGAGGAAGAGAGATGGAGGTGAGCGCGATCTAGGGAGAGAGACGAGAGAGAAAGAGAGAGAGAGAGAGAGCAGAGAGCAGAGAGAAGAGAGAGAGACGAGAGAACGAGAGAGAGAGAGAGAGAGAGAAAGAGAAAGTAGAAAGCGAAAGAGAAAGAGAGAGAGCAAGAGAAAGAGAAAGAGAGAGAGAAAGAGAAAGAGAAGAGAGGAGAGAGAAGAGAGAGAGCAAGCGAACAGGACGAGAGAGAGAGAAAGAGAGAGGCGAGAGAGAGAGAGAAAGAGACCGAGAACGAAAAGAGAAAGAGAAAGAGAGGAGAGAGAGAGAGGAGAGAGCGAGAGGACGAGAGAGAAGAGAGCGAGAGCAGTAGAGCGCGAGAGAGAGAGAGAGAGAGCAGAGAGAGAGAGAGAGAGAGAGCGAATATGTTGTTTTCTACTGTAGGGGGGGTGAGGTAGGCTGTGGGTGGGTTGTAAGTATGTATGGTAAGTTGTATGTATGTATGGATTAGTATGTCTTGTTATTATGTATGTATCGTAATGTATGTATGTATGATAGGTCACGTATGTATGTATGTATGTGGGTACTGTGGGGAAGTGGATGGGGTGTGTGTGTGGGTGTGTGTGTGGTTGTGTGTGGGTGTGTGTGTTGGGGGGTGTGTGTGTGTGTGTGGTGTGTTGTGGTCGTGTGTTTGTGTGTGGGTGTTGTGGTATATATGTGTGTAAGTATGTATGTATGTGGGTGTGTGTGTGTGTGTGTGTGTGTGTGTGTGTGTGAGGTGTGTGTGATGTGTGTGTGTGTGTGTGTGTGTGTGGGGGGTGTGTGTGTGGGTGTGTGTGTGGGTGTCGTGTGTGGGGTGTGTGTGGGTGGGTGTGCTGGGTGTGTGTTGTGGGTGTGTGTGGGTGTGTGTGTGTGTGGGTGTTGTGTGTGAGGTTGTGTGTTGGGTGTGTGTGTGGGTGTGGGTGTGTGTGTCGTGTGTGTGTGGTGTGTGGGTTATGCGTGGGTGTGTGTGGTGTGTGTGTGTGTGGGTATGTGGGTATGTGGGGTATGTGGGTAGGTGGCTATGTGTTCGTGTGGTGTGTGTGGTGTGTGTGTGTGTGTGTGAGTGTGTGTGTGTGTGCGGTGTGAGTGTTATGTGTGTGTATGTGTGTGTATGTGTGTGTGTGTGTGTTGTGTGTGTGTGTGTGTGTGTGTTGGGTGTGTGTATGTGTGGTATGTGTGTATAGTGCTGTGTGGGTGGGTGTATATGTGTCGTGTGTGTGTAGTGGCTGTGTCGTCGTGTGTGTGTGTGTGTGTGTGTGTGTGTGTTGTGTGTGTGTGTGTGTGTGTGGGTGTGGGTGTGTGTGTGTAGTGTGTGTGTGTGGTGCGTGAGGGGGGTGTGTGTGTGTGTGTTGTGTGGTGTGTGTGTGTGGGGGGGTGTATGGTGTGTGTGTTTGTGTGGGGGAGTGTGTGTGTTGTGTGTGTGTGTGTGGGGGTGTATGTGGTGTGTGGGGGTGTCGTTGGGTGTGTGTGTGTGTTGTGTGTGTGTTGTGTGTGGGGTTGAGTGTGGGTGTGTCGTGTGTGTGTGTATGTGTGTGTGTGTGGTTGTGTGTATGTGTGAGATGTGTGGTGGGTGTGTATGGTGGTGTGTGTGTGTGGGTGTGTCTGTGTTGTGTGTGGGTGGTCGTTTGTGTGTGTGGTGTGTGTGTATGTGTGTCGTGTGTGGCGTGTGTATGTGTGTGTGTGTTCACTGTGTGTGTGTGTGTATGTGTGTGTGTGTGTGTGTGTGGTGTTGTGTGTGTGTGTGTGTGTGGGTGTGTGTCGTGTATGTGTGTGTGTGTGTATGTGAGTGTGTGTGGGTGTGTGTGGGTGTGTGTGTGTGAGTGTGGTGTGTGTGTGTGTGTGGGTGTGTATGTGTGTGGTGTGTATGTCGTGTGTGTGTCGTGGTTGTGAGTTTGTGTGTGGTGTGTGTGTGTGTGGTGTGTATTTGTGTGTGTTGGTATACATAGATATATATAGTTTAGTTTTTTTTTATATATAGATTTATATATATATTTTTTTTTATTTTTATTATATTGTATAACTATATTTATTTATATTATAGATATATTATATTTTTATTTTTATATATATATTTTTTTATATTTATTTTTTATTTATATATATATGTATATAATATTTTAAATTATATATATATATACTATTATAATATATATATGTATGTTATATAATTTGTATATATATATATGTATATATAGATATATGTATATACATATATATATTTTTGTATATACATTTTTATATATGTATATCACCTATATATTTATTTTTTGTTTATTATATGTTTATTTAATTTTTGATTATATTTTTTTTAGATATATTATATATATGATATTCATTGTTATATATATAATTTATATATTTTATTATATTTTTATATATATATATATATTTAGATATATATTTTTATACTTGTATTATATATGTTTTTTATTATATTTATATTATATATATATTATTATATATATTTATTTTTATACAAAATATATTATATATTTATTTACTTAATGTATATATATATCTATATTATATATATATATATATATATATATATATATATATATATATATATATTTATACATTATATATATATGTATATTTATATATATATATATATACTAGTATGTATTATATATATATATATTAATAATTTATATATATATATATATATATATATATATATAATATATATATACATTATATATATATATATACATATTAGATTATATATATATATTTATATTATATATATATATATATATATATATATAATATATATCATATATGATATATTTATTTATATATATATTATATATATATATATATATATATATATATATATATATATATAATATATATATGTATATATGTATATATGTATATATGTATATATTTATATATATATATATATATATATATATATATATATATATATATATATATATATATATATATATAAATACTCACACACACACACACACACACCACACACACACACACACACACACACACACACACACACACACACACACACACACACACACACACACACACACACATGTATATTTATATATATATGTATTCATACTTATATAGTACATATACATATATTTTCATATATAAATATATTTATATGTACATATATATATATATATATATATATATATATATATATATATATATATATATATATATATATATATATTTATATATATATACATATATACATATATACATATATACATATATTTATATATATGCATATATTTATATAGATATATACATATATTTATATATATACATATATCTATATAGATGCATATATACATATATATATATATATATATATATATATATATATATATATATATATATATATATATATATATATATATACATATACATATATGTATATATATATATATTCATATATTTATATATATACATATATATTTATATATATACATATATTTATATATGTACATATATTCATATATATTCATATATTTGTGTATATTCATATATATATATATATATATATATATATATATATATATATGTATATATATATATATATATATTTATGTATGTATATACATATACATATACATATACATATAGATACACACACACACACACACACACTTATACCTTTTGATATGTACGTATGTATGCATGCATGTATATTAAACTCTTATTCTGCCAATTCTTCATCACTGTGTTGTTTGTCTCTGGTATTCTATTGCATTTGTCCTATGCTGTTCATGGATTCACGGAGGCAAGAAATAAAACAAGATCACAGGGAAACACTTTCTTCTGATTGTTTACATAAAATACATATACTTGCAGAACATCCCTTGCCGCATGCTCAGTGTTCGGTTATTGTGTAACCAATGGTATCAGTACGGTGAGACTGTACGATGAATAGTTAAGGATTTTCTTTAACATCTTCAAACATGTTGCTCATGCATATGGTCCAACAGTCGTTGCAGATACAGCATATATTTTCTCTCTCATAAATACGATATGAAAATTGGATTAATTGAATAGTATTCATTTACTTATATCTACATATGATGCACATAGTATTCTTTATGAAGTATATGTGTTCATTGGTAAGATGCGCGCACCTCTGTCACGCCTGCATAATCTTGGCTTAAACATTCTGCTACACCCTAATCTCTCTCTACAGTAAGAACTTTGGTTCTCTGTCGTGTTGCGGTGAAAAGAGCATTATGTGTGGTTCTCCAAGGAAAACATCAAAATAATATCTTTCTAGGGACTGATAGCCGATTAAGGCATGCCTATCTCTCCGTTAAAAGCGCACACGCTCTAGGGAACACAGAAGCTTTGAGCTTTGTACATTACATTGTCAACCCCTGGGCACTGGAATTTTGGAACTTCTGTATTTTACTTTTTTTAAACACGATCTCTGCATATGAAATTTAACTTGAAGCTTGGCTTGACGATACCGTAGATTAGTGCAAAGAACGACCATTGATAAATTCGTCAATATACAGGCATATGTTTAAGATGAATCTTGAAAGACACATTTAACCAAGCATTTGTTATACTCTTCGTGGTCGTAAAATGAAAGGTTAGAGCCTTTAAACTTAGTTTAACCAATTGCAGTGAATGATATGATCAGATGTGGCCTGTACCTTATTTTATTATCAGTACCCTTGGTTTGAGGAAGAGAAAAACTTAATTTTGCTTTTGGATGCCTTCTCAGGTTAACCTTCACTTTTTGGGGCAGAGAAAAATTCAAGGTAAATTATATTAGATTGTTTTGGTGAGTGGTTATCCAAGTTATGTTGCAAGGGAAGTGAGAGTGCAAGGAGGTAAGTGCATCGACAGCCGTAACAGAACCCAGAAAACTGCAGGTTTCCCCATGTGGGTTGACGTCGAGGTTTGCTACAACTGAAGGGAAGCTCGCTAGTGCTGGACGGGATCAGGTTGAGCGTGCTGGTGTGTCTGGTGATTGTGTAGCCATTCTATCCTACGCGCTGCTGCGGGTCTGGAGGAGATAAACGTGCCGGCTATCAAGTGGATGGTGGAGTTTCCTTAGCTTGGTGCATACAGTTGCGTGTCCTACATCGTCAGTATACCTGCTCTAACAATTAATACTGATTGAATGGCATTTTATAGTGATATTTGTGCTACAGTGACTGATTACAGGTTTAAGCAAATCACCGAACGCTTTCACGCATTGCTCTCTTAACGGAAACCATCTTCTATCCTTCGACACCCAGGCCGCATTTGCCAATGGTAAGACGCAACGGACTCTTGGCCAAACTATTTTAGCTTCCAGCTCGGTTCCTGTGCCCTTTCTCAGTCTGCGTTTGTGCCATGAAGAACTCTTTACCTGAAAGTTGTACTCGATTTAGCCGTCAACTGTTTTGCCCTCGGCTGCACGCCTCGCCCGAAAAACTTGCACGCTTAGACTTCTCAAACTCCTCTCAAGTCTTGTTCAGTTTCGTCCGCTTATGTGATTACTAGGATTCCTATTCTACTCTTTTGCACTCACTCTATGAATAATATAACAGTGAATTCGAGAGCTATAATGCAGATGAATAGTACTCTTATGGACAATTTTCTATTCTAAACGATATTGATAATCTACGGTGGTCTCGACCCCACGTGTGTCCTGACAGGAATCAGTCACCACAGATCTGACCGTCATACGATAGTCCTCTAAACACATCTCATTATACTACATTCTCCTTCGCAAATTGACAGTGCGTACTGCACTCAGACTCCCTATCTGTGACTGGAACGAAGGCCAAGGTGAACATTCCTGGCCACGACGTCACCACCTGTGAAGAGGTCGATGCATACACCAGTAATCATATCGAACTGTTAGTGTAGACTTGCATTATTTGTACTGACCTGATATCCTAACAACCGCAGCCTTTTTCCGTTGATTATACAGCCAACATTTTGAACAAAACATCTCGACCATGTAATTTTGTAGCCGATGGACAGACAGAATCTGAACACGACATTTTCTCTACGTAGAACACCATCACAGTCTATATGTGTTTCCGTTTCCCTTAGTCCCGTCAAGGATCAACATCCAACCGTCAACCGCGAGACTCCCCAACGTGTCTGCCACCACACTCATCGCCACCCTGGTTGTAACCGACGTCAAGTGATGAACGGGCTGAGACTTTCTCCTGGCAAGGCCGAAGGCGAGGAGGAGGCAGGCGACCGGGCGCGCGGGGCCTCGGGGCTCAATCAAACACGATGAGGTAGTCCGTCCTGAAGCCCTTAACGTCCACGGCGTACTTGTTGTCCGCCTGGCATTCGTAGTAGCCCGCGTCCATCTGCGTGGCGGGATCGATCTCCATCTTGCTCTTAATCGTGTTGTCGTCCTCGTTCCACTCGTGCACCTGTCGGGACACACAGCGTCACGTACATGACATTTTCGGAATGGATTCCAATCTCCTGGAGAATTCTACGTCTCACTAAAGTGATTGGTAATTGTGTTGTTGAAGTCATTCTTACATAATCCATCTTATACATTTGAATAAATTCTGCGCATTGAGCACTCCACGTTTAAGTAACTAATTTTAGTGATAGAACAATTAAAACGAATATTTGCTCGTTGCGTTGCGTCTATGTTGATATTTGCAAACAATAAAGCATCAACTATGACTTACTTGGAAGAATGAGTGGGCGTATAGTTCAATGCCGTTCTTGTACCAGGTGATGTGCGGCCGCGGATTCCCCGTGGCCACGCACATGAACACTATTTTCCTCCCCAGCAAGTATTCGGACTCGAAGTGGGACCATAACGTGATCTTAGCACCCTGCCGATCACACCGCCTTTGTTTAAGTTGCTCTCATATGGCATATAGGTACACACACACACACACACACACACACGCGCGCGCGCGCGCGCGCGCGCGCGCATGTATATATATATATATATATATATATATATATATAGATCGATATAGATAAATAGATACATGTGTGTGCCGTGTGTGTGTGTGTGTGTGTGTGTGTGTGTGTGTGTGTGTGGTGTGTGTGTGTGTGTGTGTGTGCGTGTGTGTGTGTGTGTGTGTGTGTGTGTGTGTGTGTGTGTGTGTGTGTGTGTGTTTGTTTGTGTGTGTGTAAGTATGTATATATGTATATGTATATGTATATGTTTACGTATATGTATATATGTATATGCATATATGCAAATGTATATGCATATGCATATGTATATATATTATATATATATGATATAAATAATGTATATATATATATATATATATATATATATATATATATATATATATATATGTATACACACACACACACACACACACACACACACACACACACACACACACACACACACACACACACACACACACACACACACACACACACACACATACACACACACACACACACACACACACACATACACACACACACACACACACACACACATATATATATATATATATATATATATATATATATATATATATATAGAGAGAGAGAGAGAGAGAGAGAGAGAGAGAGAGAGAGAGAGAGAGAGAGAGATGCACAAACACACATATATTCTGTGTGCACGTGTGTGTGTATGCACGTTTGTGGTAAAATAGCTATAGATAAAGATATGCAGTAGGTATGATATTTATACTTTGTTCTTCTCTTTTGAGTTATCTATTCTACTCAGCCTCTTTTGAATTGAATGCCTGTAACAAACATAGTCTCATGCTTCCTATGAACAAGTTGTCAATGATCTTCTCTCTACCCGCAGGTAAGCAAGGGTGAGCCAAGAAACCAGAGAAAACCTCGTGAGTACTAGCATTCTTTCAGGATTCCTTATTGCTTAAGCGAACTGGCAGCGTGAGACTGGGGAGGCTGCGCTAGGGGGGGGGGGCGGCACTCACGTCGTCATGGTTGTAGTAGGCTTTGCTGTCTTCGGATTTGTACCTGATGATGCCACCACGACTGCCCGTGTTCTTCCGGCCGCCCTTGGCCCGCCCGCGTCCGCGCCGCCCTTCTGTGACGCCCACGCTCACCACCAGCGCCACCGCCACCGCGAGCCACACCCAGCATGCCCTCATGGTAGATCCTCGGCAGTATC